CAAAATTAGGCTAGGAGGGAATTTCCTCATCCTACTTAAGGGTATCATCATAAACCATACAGCTAACAACATCACACTTAACCTTAAGGACTGCATGTTTTTCCCTTAAAATTAGGAACAGAGCAAAGAGGCAAAAAAAAAAACAGAAAGTATTAAAACTGTCTGTATTCATAGACGACATTACGCTGTGTGTAGAAAATCCTAAAGAATCTACAAAAATAAAACCCAAAACTATAGAGTAAAAGTATTTTCTTAATTCTTTGTGAATAAAATTACTGCATTTTTATATATTAATAAGGAAAAGTCTAAAAACAAGAAAACAACTCCATTTATAACAGCAAAAACAGTGAAAACAAATTTTTAGCAAAAGTAGTAAAAGACTTTGGCACTGAAAATCACAAAAAATTGCTAATAGAAATTAAAGGATGTCTAAGTAAATGAGATACAATCTACACTCACAGATTGGAAGATTCAATTTTGTGATGAAGGCAATTCTCTGCAAACTGGTCTATAGCTTCATTATATTCACCATTAAAATTCTAGCAAGGTTTTGTGTAAAAATCAACAAGCTGATCCTAAAATTTATATAGAAATACAAAGGACCTATAATAGTCACAAGTTTTGAAAAAGAAACAAAGTAGGAGGATTTTGCACTACTAAATTTTTAATTTTTATTCTAAAAGACAAATATTGTATGTTCTTACTTACATGAATCTAAAAACGCAGAACTCACAGAAATGGAGAGTAGAATGGTAGTTGCCAGAGGCTGGCGGTTAAGGGGGAGGAATGAGGAGAGGTTGGTCAAAAACTACAAACTTCCAGTTATAAGGTAAGTTCTGGGGATCTAACGTACAGGGAAACAATACTGTATTACATACTTGAAAGTTGCTAAGAGAGTAAACCTTAAATGTTATCATCACCACACAAAAAGAGGCAATCATGTGAGGAGATGGAGGTGTTAACTAACTTTACAATGGTAATCATTTTTCAGTATATATCATCACATTGTACCCCTTAAACTTATATATGTTGTTAAGTCAATTACATCTCAATAAAGTTAAAAAAACACTTACTCTAAAGTTACTACAATCAAAACAGGTGGCGTGGGTTTAAGGATAGACAGATTGGAATATCCAGAAATAAAACTTTGCATTCACAGTCATTTAGTTTTCAAGAAAAGTGCCAAAGCAAATGAACTGGATGACAGTGCTTGGATGAATGGGTATTTAGGTGCAAAAAGCAGACTTAGACTTCTATATCATACAATATAAAAAATCAACTTAAAAAATAGTTCATAGACTTTAATTGAAAAGATCAAATAATTAAACATCTAGAATAAGGTACAGAAGAAAATTTTGGGTTAGGCAAAATGTTCACAGATATGAGATTAAAAGCATGACCATAGAAGAAAAATTTATACATGAATTCATTCAAACTGAAAACTTCTGCTCTTCAAAAGGTATCATTAAGAAAATGGAAAGAAGGCCTTAGGCTGGGGGGGAAAAACTGCAAATACTTTATGCGATTATGGACTTGTATCAAGAATACAAAAAGTATTATGATAAAATCCCTCTTGATAATTGTTAGAATAAACAGAAAATCAGTTTGGATAAAAAAGACTTGAACAATACTATTAATCAATTTTGAAATAATTTTAACATAAAACCAAATGTACAATACATACTCTTTTCTTGAATAATTGAGTACTTCTCAAGATAGACCATCTTATGGAACACAAATCCCAATAAATTCAAAAGAGTTCAAATCACACAAAGTAGGCCCCCTGACCACAATGGAATCAATAACAGAAGAGTTCTCAGAGATTTATAACCTATAAATACCTCACTTTTAATAATCCACAGGGGAAGGAAAGCAGTCAAAAGGAAAATTACAAAAGTATTTCAAAGTGAATGAAAAGGGAAACACAAAACCCCCAAATTTAAGGGATACAGCTAAAGCAGTGCTGAGAGAAAAATTAGTAGGAGTAAAATACTGTATTAGGAAAAAAAAAAAGGCCTCAAATCATTACCTCAGTTTTCACCTTGAGAACCTAAAGAGGAAATGAAACCCAAAGAAAGCAGAAGAAAGGAAATAATAAAGAGAAGAAATCAATGAAACAAAAAACAGAAAAAGAGAGACATTCAATGTAATCAAAATATGTTTTAAGAAAAATAAATACAATTGATTAGTTCTAGACAGACTGAGAGAGAAGTGAAACCACCAATATTAGGAACAACTTTATGCTGATACTTGAGTATAACTGAACAACTTAGATGAATGTATCATTTCTTCTAAGACACAAAATGAACAGTCTTAGATCTACTGAAGTTATAGTTAAAAACATCTCTACAAAGAAAACTTTAGGCCCCAATGGCATAATTCATACCTGAAGAAGAAATAATATCAATTCTATTAAACTCCAGAAAATAAAAGAAGAGAGACTACACTGCAACTCTTTCTACAAAGCTAGCATTACCTTGGTATGCAAGAGCATTCAGAGACACTCAATAATATAAAAAGTTAAGAGATCTATATCCCTCCTGAACTTAGATGCAAAAATTCATTTTTAGCAAATCACATCCAACAATATATAAAAATAATAATATATTATGATTATGTGGGTTTAGCCCAAGAATTTGTTAATATGTGAAAATCAACCAATTCACATTAACAGTCTTAAAAAAGAAAATCCAAATTATGATCTCAGTAAATGTAGAAAAGCATTTGACAAAATCCAACAACCATTTCTAATAAGTCTAAGAAAACTTAGTAATAGTAAGGAAACGTCCTCAAACTGATAAAGGGCATCTATGAAAGTGTGTTAACAGTCTTAATGATGAAAGACTCATTTTGCTGAGTGAAAGCCAGAGCAAAACAGCAACAATAACAAAAATCAGGATACACACTATACAATTCCATTTCTATAAAATTCCTGAAAATCTAAACAAATCAGTTAGCCAATTAATGGCTGCTTGAGGATGGGGATGGGAGAGAGTAGCCAGAATGGACTTGGGGAAGAATTACAAAGTGGCATAAGAAAACGTTTGAGGATGATGAATATATTTATTATTTTACCTGTGTAATTCCACAGTTGTATATATGTCCAAACTCATCAAATTATGCACTTACTGTGTAATTTATTGTATGGTAACTATCCTCTATAAAAGTTGTAATTATAAAACAGATTGCAAGGCAGGTGATGGAAGTTCTTGCTTTTTTTCAAATCATTTGTCAATACTTCATTATACTTGTAGTTTATATAAGAAAGAGGATGTGAAACTCCAATCAGATAATCCATACTCAAAAGTCAAGTCCTTCGCCTTATTTTTTAATAGGTAAAATAAAAATTTTTGCAGATAAGCAAATAGTAGAAGAATTTATAGCTATCAGGCTGAAGTAAAATGGTAACAAAAACTCAAGAATGAGGAAAAGTGGAAATGGTAAATTTGTCAGTAGATATAAGCAATTTTGTTTTATTACTTTTAAGTTTCCTTAAAAGCCACGTGACAGTTTTGTTTTGTTTAGTTTTACTAGCATAACCTATTTCCTTAATAGTTCCTTAAAACTTCTGAAGTTTTAGGAATTAAGTGTGTGTGTTTTCCTTTCAGACCTGTACAGTATATTTCCCACACTCAGCATTATTTTCTTTTTAAATCAGCTATTAAAGTCTCATAGTGCATTATTATCACCCACGTTTCTTCTAAAAGTTCTATTACACATTACCGAAGTTATATGTAAATGTATTAAAGTTGCCTAAATTTCCTAATAATATTGGAAATGATCATAAATTACTAAACAATAAGCTGTTTTCTGATCAGTAATGCAGTGAATTTTATTTTTCTTTTTACCTTTGACCTCATGCCCCCTAACTATGGCACCTACCAATCTGTTCTCTGTATTATTTGTCTTTCTCTGTCTTATTTCACTTAGCATAATTTCCTCGAGGTCCATCCCTGAAGATGTCATTCTTTTTATGGCTGAATAATACTCCTGTGTGTGTGTATGCGTACACGTCTCTCACAGTTTCTTTATCCATTTATCCATTAATGGACACTTCAGTTGTTTCCATATCTTAGCTAAAATAATGCTGAAAAGGACACTGGGGTGCATGTATCTTTTCAAGTTAGTGTTTTTTGTTTTCTGTAGATGAATATCCAGAAGATCAAAAGATTTTTCTATATTTTGAATTAAAACAAAATGTTTAAGTTATAATTTTTCATTAAAAAAACTAACTTCCTTCTTTTAACCAACTTTTAAAATTAACTGGACAATTAAAGTCTCAAATGTGTCTAAAGACAGTGCTTCTGTTATGTGTCGCCACCTAAACATATCATATCATGCCTAATTAATGAAAGGTAACAAGTGTGTTTATGATTCATTAATTTCCTATGAAATGTACATTTTAATAATGTAGTTAGGTTTCCCTAAAAGACAAACTCATTTGCAATATAGCATGACAAAAACTTCTTTGGAAATGCTTTGCTTCTACTTTCATGAGCGTAGCTGAAGGTAAAGAAGAGTGATGCTATAGAGGTGTTACATTATCTGCAGACAAATTCTGTTTTGTTTACTTTTCTACCATCTTAACAGGGGTATTTTTAAAAGACTTTGTTAATTTGGTCATGGAACAAGATGAGTACCACAGAGCAGGAATCAGGTAATTTAATTTTTTCAAATATTAAGACAATCCTATCTTATTAAAGCCACCTTAACTTAATAGTATCTTACTGATTAATATTCCATCAGTAAAAATGAAAGTACAATGAAGGCTTCTAAGAGTCTATGTTCATAATTTAAAGAGTGTGTCCATGGTGGCTGTGGCACAATTTCCTCTACAATAATAGTATGACATTTGTATAGTTTTTATAGCCAAAGCTGTGTTCCAGAACACAAAACAAATAATTAGAGAGTTTTATATTTTTATAATTACCTAGAAATACAAAGATGCAATCAATTACTGAAGCTAAAAAATCTTCTAAATGATTTTTAAAATCCCTTACCGGTATCTATGAACAAATATACCCTTAAAAATAGAGTTCATCATATTTTCAATTTCATCCTGATTTTCTTGTAGCTGAAATAAAAAACAAAACAGTAAAAAATATAAATTAAAATACTGATATTATATTTGGAATGCAAAGTTCCAGTTGTTTTTAATTCTTGTTTATTCTCATTCTGAGTAATTATCAGCCCTTTTTCTTACTTATTGTGAAAAGACATCTGAAATTACCAGTTTTCTTGCAGTATTTCTACAATTTTACTACACTGGCTTTAGAGTCTAGGTCTGTCTCTCTCAACACATATTACAAGATGATTAACAAGGACTGCAGTCAGATTCCTATTTCCAATATATCACCTGCTTTGGTAACAGGCCTCAATCTATACTTCTGTTCAAAGCAGCTCCCCAGCTTGATTGTGCCTTTCTTGGTAACAAATCATCCTTGATTATTGTATTTCCCATTGCACAATAGTTTCTATTCCATCCAAAGTATCCAAATATTACTCTGCATCTGATTAACCCATAACTGAGAGGAGGCCAAGTTCCCAATATAGGAGGCACAACAGAAGATAGCAAGGACCCTAGACATTAGTGATGGAATGCAGCAACAAAATAAAATACTATAGCAGAGGCAAAGTTAGAGCTTATTCACTGCTCAAATGGCACAAAAGCACTGATACAAAACTACATTCAAGGTGATATTTCTAATTTTTTTCTGCAGTAATACTCAGTGAAATATTTGCTTTGATTACATACACAAATATGACAAAATTCCCTCAGACTTCTGTTGTATGCTTTGATTCAGATTTTACTGAAATAAGTTTGGGAATACTTTTACGTAAATCATTCCAATTATTTCAACTTACTGAAAGTTTTAAAAATGATTTTTGCTTCATTTATTACATGAAAAATAAATTTATAAGAGACATACATTTTAGTTAGCAATACTTACTGAATCACAGTTTCAAAATTTACTTTCGTATTTCAGGTATGTATATGAATGAATGGTGTTTCTCAAAAATTGATTTGCTGAAGTTCTGACCCACAGTACCTCAAACTTACTTGGGAACAGGTTTGTGACAGATATAAGTAGTTAAGATGGGGTCGTTCCAGAGTAGGGTGGGCGCCAAATCCAGTATGACTAATTTCTTTATAGAAAGGAGAAACTGGGAGATACACACACACAGGGATAAGGCCATGTAAAGAGTGTGTTATCTTTGACTTCTAGCCTATTAAGGACTGTAAGATTATTGATAGATTTCTGTTCTTTAAGCCAGTCAGTTTGTGGTGGTGGTTATAGCAGCATTTATTAAGTTTGTTGCTTTTTGTTGCCTATTATAACCCATTATTCACTGAAAGCAATTTACTTGAAGCAATGTGACATTATTCTTTTTTCGACTTAAAATGTAGACTAATACTGCAAATCTAAATATTTATTTCCTATGAGACAAAAATGTCACCTACTAAAATCCAAGTTTAAGCTCATTTTCAACCTGTATATGAAAATTTAATTGTAAAACTGGAGCCAATTATAAAACTGGAATGCCTTATACATCAGCTATATGTTGTCTTTGGCTTTCTCCTGGAAATACAGCTTTGCTGGCCCTCAGTTCTGATATTAGTATTTATTGTGCTTTCTAAGCTCAAAGCCTGATAATCACCTAACTCATAGACCACCTTTCAACAGTAGGATTGCTCTGTGATTCTACCATCAGACAGCACTCAGAAAATCACTGGTTCAATGTTTCAGTTTCATTCAAAACCTTTAAGATCAAATAATCTGACTTAAATTAAATTTAAAAATACAAACCTTTTTACAGAGAATTTAAAAACTGATTTATTTATTACACATTTATAGAACATAAAAATCTCAGTTACCATGAAACTTACCTCTTTGCGTTTCTGAAGTAGTAACTCTAACCTTTCATTGGCTCTCTTCCCAATCATTTTATTTCTCTCAGCTTCATACTGTCTCTGGGTATTATCCTGATGAATACTGAGGTTTAAGGCAACATTCACCAGAGCAGTCATGAGCTTCATGGCTATGAAGTAAAGGAAGACCACAGTATTCATCTATGATTCAGACCTTCATCCCTAATACTACAAATTTATAACAGAGATGGTTGAAAGGAGGAGACTAGTCAGTTTGCAGGTTTTACAATCAGGCATAATTTAAATTAAAATAATTATTTTATAGAAATGAACTTGTCTTCTTAGTCTGCAATATACTTTTCTCTACCTCAGTGTTCCTATAGCTTGGCTTTTAACATTTCCCACTTAAAAAAGTCTCATCCTAATTATCAGCAGGAAGGATTAAAGTAGTATCTTTGACAACCCTTCTCCCCAACTGTCAAATACATGAACTCTAGTGAGGAAATAGGAAGACTAATTAAACCTATTGATGATCACCAGTTCTGTGTATACAAATTGCTTCCTGAATACCTTTATTGAGATGTGTCAAAGGATCTTACATGTTTACAATCAGTTCACGATCTTTACCAACAAAGATGGTCCTTTCTCTGTTTCTCACCTCAGTGAAAGGTATAACCTTCAAACCTTGAAAAATAGACCAATCCTACCAAAATCAACAAATTCATTAAAAATGTGTTCTGTGAACTTCTGATTGACCTATTTTCCCAAGTCACTGTGTTAATGTACCTTTAAATATTCACTTTAATCCTAAATTTTGTTAAATATGTTATCTTCTCTTTCAAGTAATGACATAAACCTTAAAACTTTTGTCTATTCTTATTTATTTTCATTACTGGGATGGTTAAGAGTGTAGGAATATTGGTAAAGGAAGAGTCTGGAGGAAAATAATTTCCATTTTTCTCCCTTTTAGTATATTCATCAATAAAAACAAATGTTGAGCTACACAAAATGAACTGATCAGTTTTTTGGAGGAAATGATATACTCATTTGTAAACATCCATAGCTAAATATGAGTATGCATTTCTTTTAAGACTTCACTGTTTCTCTTTAAGTACAAACATAAAGACATGTTGCTATATCTCTACCTACCTACCTACCTACACACATACACACATAATTTGTTAATCTGAAACACTCTATTTTGGCCAATTCCATGTTAGTAATAGTGATTGCTGTTGCCTTAAACCAAAGTAAAGATAAAATTCCTGAAAACAAAATGTATTTAAGTTTGTGACCACTAAGAAATGCGTTTAATGAAAATGTTTCCCTTTTCCTTAGATATAGTGTCTCAATAAAGAAAGTCAACTGAGAAATATTCTTGTGCTTTGAAATGTGGGCTAGTGATTTTACAGCATTTTTTATTGTTAGAATATCTGGTGATACTCTGAAGGTTAAAAGTATTTTAGGAATTAATCTGTAGAAAAAAATGAAAATAGCTCAAAGACAGGAGGCATCTGGGGCATTCAAAATGGCCACCTTGGGGATAATAGTTTAAAAGAGCTTGTCCTAAGCATACAAAGTCATACCCAATGAAGCTTCAGTATATACTTCTAGATCCCTAAAACAAAATGACTTGAAGATCAAGGAGTTAGAAAGCATTAAGATCAAGGAGTTGGAAAGCATTAAAATTAACAACAACCCTGGCTGGAATTTGCCAGTGGAAGCTGAGACATGCATTTCCTTGAACTTAATGGGTTTTACTTTCAGCTATGGATCTCCCTGTGAACCGAATTCCCAATTCCAACTGTCATTGTGTAATGACCCTCCTCCAACCTTACATACATAAACAACAAAATAATCAACATGCTAAAAGAAAAATGCAAAATGGTCAATACATTTTCATTAAAGGATTAGATAGGATATAGCAGTATTTACTGAGATAAATGTTTACGAATCTGTAAAATTTAAACTTTAGTACAATGTTCATTTCACATACGAAATAGAAGCAAATAGACTTCCTTTTTAATGACACAGATATAACATGGGGATTGTGATGTTTTACTGGGTCTATTGAAAAAAACTCATACCTGCATGGGGTGAGCACTAATTAAATTTTACTGGTAAACTAACAGAATTATTTTATGAGTTAACAATCTTACAGGAATCCAGCCTGGATTCTGTGACATGGACTTTTAAGTGGCTTCTCCTTATCTACCAAAGATAACACTTCATTTAGCCTTCACATTATACGAAGTCACTCATAAAAAAGAAAAGTATTTAAGTGGGGCTGAGGCACAGAAATAGGCATAGTCAAGAGGTGAGGTTGAGGAGAAAATGGAGAGCCAAGGTTACTAGTGGGTTCTACCAGGATTTGGTGAGGACTCAGGAATTACATCTAAAGGAGGTAAGACTCACTAGAGAATATNGATAACACTTCATTTAGCCTTCACATTTAAACTGCTGGCTGTAGAATGGCAAACTTGTTCTAGAGCAGTCACTCAGAGTTTGTAGTCTACAAGTAGGTTTTGACCCAAATTGGCTTATTACCAGTTCATTATCATTACAAATTTGAAAGAAGTTTAGAAATTTTTGTAACAATCTGAGTGATCTTATGTCTATTGTATCAATAAAATGGCACTAAGAAATATACATTTCATTTTTCTTTATATCCATTCTATCACATTATACGAAACTACTAGGTTGTCACAAATTGGTAATTAAATAATTTGTTTTTTACCACAGAGTGTTCAAGAAACACTTACTCAGTGCTTCCCAATTCATCTATCACTGCAACATGTACTGAGCACTGTTCTACATACCAGAAGTACAAAAGTGAACAAGACAGAGTGTCTGCCCTTGTAATTTTATATTCTATGAGGAGAAGACAATTAACAAATAGATAATATACAAATGAATAACTGTCAATTAATGGAAAATCTACAAAGAAAAACACAGTAGAGTTAAAAAAAAGTATGATAGGAAGGTTAAAAGAGTAAAGAGAGTTATCAGGAAGAAAGGCCTCTCTAAAGAGCTCATATTTAAGCATGAAGTGAGGGAATAAGCCTATGATTATATGACAGAACAGCAGTCCAAAGACAGGAAATAAAAAGTGCACCTATCATTTTACTGGGTCTATTGAAAAAAACTCATACCTGCATGGGGTGAGCACTAATTAAATTTTACTGGTAAACTAACAGAATTATTTTATGAGTTAACAATCTTACAGGAATCCAGCCTGGATTCTGTGACATGGACTTTTAAGTGGCTTCTCCTTATCTACCAAAGATAACACTTCATTTAGCCTTCACATTATACGAAGTCACTCATAAAAAAGAAAAGTATTTAAGTGGGGCTGAGGCACAGAAATAGGCATAGTCAAGAGGTGAGGTTGAGGAGAAAATGGAGAGCCAAGGTTACTAGTGGGTTCTACCAGGATTTGGTGAGGACTCAGGAATTACATCTAAAGGAGGTAAGACTCACTAGAGAATATGATGTGGGTAAGAAATAGTCAAATTTACATTTTAAACTGCTGTGTGAATAAATGATAGGAGAGTAAAAGTGCAATAAGGGAGACTAAACAGGAGAACACTGAAAGAGAGCTGAAAATATCTGCCCAAACTTTGTAATGATTCTCAAGTTTTTGGCTTTGAGCAACTCAGTGAAGCAATGCTGACTAGGATTAAAGTGGTAGCAAGAGGTAGAGAGAAAGGATTAGATGTGAAATATATTTTGAAGGTAAAGTTTAAAGAATATGATAGATTATAATGTAGAAAATAAGAGAGGTAGAAAAGGCAAGGTAATTTGTGCTTATGAGGTACCTAAGTGAAATGTCTACAGAAATACAATTCTAAGTCATCACCAAAGATAATGGTATTTAAAGCCATTAAACTAGATGGCACATCCATCCAATGGATAGCTGTCAGCTATCAGAAAAGTGACACACGATTTGTGTGCTGAAAATAAAAGCCTGCCAAGATATTTGTTGATGGAAAAAAAAGCAAGATGCCTATCAGAGTATGTATTATGCTATCATTCATACAAAAAGGAATGTTATCTACTTTTATGTGCCATTTACCCTTCTAAGTTCTTTACACATACTTATTCATCTATACCTCACAATTCTATCAAGTAAGTACTATTATAATTATTTCTTTTTTACATAAGAGAAACCTGAGACACACATCAGCTAAGAGATTTCCCAGTTACACAGCCAGTAATTGGCAGAGACAGAATTTGATTACAGTCATGCTTTACATATAGTTCAAGTTCTTAATCACTACACACTATACTGCCTCTCACTGAGTATCTATGTGCTATTATATTCATAAACTATCTTTGGAAAACTATATAAGAAAATGGCAAGTTTGGTTGCTTTCAGGGAAGAGAATTTAATGGTTGAGAGCCATAGGTTGAAGAGTGACATTTCACATATAAATTTTTAAAAATTTTAAATCATGTGACTGTATTATCTCTCTCATCATCATTATTTTTTTAATAGAAATAATGAAACCATGGTTTTGGTTTTCATTTTATTCACTGAGAAGTGAATAAAGAGAAAAGATAAAAAGGTCTGAAGACTGAATCCAAAGATAATATTTAAAATTTAGTTTTCTAAGATCCACTAGGACAGTGTAGTATTCCAGAAAACAATTGGAGACAGTGCTTCAGGAAGGAAGTAGCAGCTATGTCTTTCAAGCTGACAAGTAGAAGCTGCCCAGTGATATGGACTATAAGAAGGTAATTGCTGACTTCCACAAGTAGAGGCAGTGAAATGGCAGAGATAGGAACTCGACTGGAATGGTTTAAAAAGAATAAGACAGTGGGTAGATACAGTGAAAAGATCAGAGACGGCAAACAGAAATAATTCTCTGAAATTTTCTCTAAAGAAACAGAGATAAGGGATTGTAGCTAGAGGGACAAGAGGAAACAAGGTAGGATATAATGGTCAGTATTATGCATCAAGTCGGTAAGGCTACAGTATCTAGTTATTTAATCAAATACTAATCTAGGTATTACTGTGAATGTATATTGTAGGTATGGTAACATCTATCCTGAGTTAGTTTTAAGTAAAGGAGATTACTCATTTACCTAAATAGATAAGGTGGTGGGCCTCATCCAGTCAGATAAAAACCTTAAAAGAAAACTGGTTTCTTGGAGAAGCAATTTCTGC